CCCCCTATCCGTCGAGGTCGCGTCTGAACCTTACTCCTCGACGATTCTTTCTTTCTTTCTTTCATTATCGTCACTCACTAATATCTAATTTCGATTGGTGCGGATTTAGAGACACGTGTGATCAACTAAAAAGTAAACTACGTGAAAATAACACGCAAAGATACATCTGTAACACGCAATCGAGATTGCGCAATCCGAACATTTCAAAGCTCTCGCGTAATTAAAGAAATATTTCCCAAAATTATTTCTATCAAACATTTCGAATATTTCCAAAAGAAGAGAATCTGTCCGCATTATATTTCTTATTTATATTTCTCGCGCATTTTGTACGATTTTATAATTATTCCGTGTATGTGTGTGTGTGTGTGTGTATAGCGCATTTTTACACTGATCGGTCCAGCGTTCATATATCTTTTCTTTCAGATGTACCTTGAACTTTTACTGTCCTTGGTAAGTATTTAGACACGAGCGCGATCGGAATTTCTGGACATATTATTGAGAAGGACAGCGAGTCGCGCGAATGTTCCGCGAGGAAGTTTAGCGGAGACACCTCGTCGTCTCATCATCCAGTATTTGTTGTTTTAATTATTCCAGCCAGCCAAGATCGCACGAGTCGCAGAAGCGGACGAATGGGCAATCTATCGATCGGATCAAAACAACGATTATTCACACGAGGAAGACGTAGTAGAAAGAGAGAAAAATGAAGACGAGAAGAGTTGAATCTCGATGGCGCATCCAGCAGCGAGATTTAATCGTGACGTTCGTAGCGGCGCAATGACGCTTTCCCCGTTGTGTAATTGCCGAGCTTTCCATGGCGCGGATCTCCCTCGTCGATCCACCAAATCCGCCCACGGCGAGGTGGCGGTGTGCACGAGAGGAAAAGCGGGCGGCCACAGCACGTTCGCGTAAACACCTACGGTGGAGGCGCGTGGCGTACCGTGGGCGTCGGTTGCCACGCAACACACCTCCCGTTTCTCGCTCTAACGTTAACTGTCCTACCGTGAACTCTGCACTTCACCTCGACGACGGCCACCGTGTGTCGATGATACGCCGTATCGTCCTTCTCGTTGTCGTCGTCGTCGCTGCCGCGCCACGCGCGGGGGCGTTGTATTTCGACGTAGGGGACCGGTTCTCATCGCGATAACGCTTAAATCGGGGATGAAACGGATTAGAGATTATCCCGCCCTCTCGTAGTTGTTACGCTCGAATTCAGGGCGCGCAAAGAGAACGACTCTACGCGAGGATGCTGTTTAGCTTGCGATTACGGTAACGAGTGACGGTACGTTTTGCGCCGCTCGTGCCTCGGATTCCAGAGGCTTCGCCTCTGTCTATGTGTGTGTGTGTGTGTGCGCCTGTTGTTACGTTGTTCTGACTATACATATATCTAGGATCGCAGCGCGACTAAATTGACGTCAGTTCGATCTACCGTACGCTCGTTATCGGGCACATTGTGTGTCTGGTACACGGCCGTTAATCCGCGTTAATTCTCGGAGACGTCTCGGTGAGTCTTTCTCCTTCCCTCTCTCTCTTCCTTTTTCTCTCCCTCTTTCATTCTCTCGAGTTATCCCTCGGCCATTGGCGTCGTGCAGAACGTATCTGTAGTCGTCAGGCTGCGGATTAAGCGGCAAAAAGAGAACGAGAAGCAGACCGTCGTCGCGGAGATCGACAAGGAGCCGTCCGCGAACAATAAACCGTCGAACACAGAGCTCGCTGTCGCGAAGGCCGCCCGTTAACCCACGCGTGCGTGCATGCGTGCGTGTTATATATATATATATATATATATATATATATATATATATATATATATATATATATATCGCGCGTTGCATATCGTGCACAGTATAATTAAGCGAAATGTCAACTCTGTCATGAGAGGAACTTCTGCCATCTTTCATTCGCGATTTCCTCGCGACCCTTCTCAACGACATACAATTCGTTCTCGTTCCGTCTTTCCGTTGGCAGCAACTTCGCTCTGCCAAGCGACGGCGATAAGGAATAAACAAAAAGAACCAGATGTTATAGCGGATATTGGACATTCCGTGACAGTCAATAGTACCATTCATCGTCTCGTTATCAAACACGCTGATACGAGAGAGAAAGAGAGAGAGACATTAAAAGAAAAAAAGAAAGGAGGGGATGCTGGCCTCGTCGCGGATGTGTCCGCGATCTCGGCTGGACCTTGAACGCACTCCTTTGACCGAGACGCGGCGCGCGAGAGCTTTTGTGCGTGGAACCAAGGGCGGAAGCGTGGGGCGAGGAGGAGGCTGGATACGCGGCTCGTAACGCGAGGGCGTCCTGGAGGCTAAAACACAGTCTGGGAATGTACTCTGCTTGCCCAGGGACAGCGCGCATTCTCCGGACAACACCAGCCGAAGCCGTCTCCGTAGTCACGTGTACATCACGGGCGATGATTTCGCCCCGCGAAGACAATGTTCGCTCCTTCCCCCCCCCCTCCCCTCTACCCCGCCTGCAGCATGCGATTTTCCGATATAATAACCGGCTTTCGAAACCCGTCGAGTCGTGGGCTACATCGCGGAGATGATCCCGGCTGATCCTCGAAGATTCGTCGCGGTCACGAGATTTCACCGCGAGATCTCCGATGGAGCGGGTAGATTACTTTTGATCTTTTCGTCAACATATTGAGACCGTCATGAGATCACCAGTAATCTTGTGGTATCGACGCGTCTCATTAATATACGCATAAATTCTTAATCAGCGAGATGCATTTAACCAATTGTGTAGCAAATAAATTAAATGGACAATGAAACGAGCTAAAACAAGTAAATGCATCGTGAATTGCATTTATTTGTGCGCCGCAT